TTTATTAGCCTGCCCGTATGTTTTTATTGCCTGATAGCAGGCACCTTATTATATTGCACCCCTAAATCTAATAGCAGATTGGCCATTTTTGGCAAAAATGTAAAATTTTTGAAACTTTTTAGCGTATTTAGCGATTTGCCAACAATATTAGTGGCAAATCAAATTATCAAATGTCGAAGTAAAACAAAAGCTTAAAAGTAATTTTTCACACCATAATTATCTTACTCGTATCTTCTTTATTATTTCATTAGTTGAGTTCAAAATTTTATACAAGTGACCCATTGGTGAATAAGACAGGATACATTCTACTACTCAAATGCAACAACTTTCCTACTCCCCCATTGACCCCATATAATGCTTACCACTACGGCCTCTAATGTTCCTATAATAGTCTAATAGGTTGCGTGTCTTGTTAGAAATATGTCGACATGACCTTTATGGCTTTATTGACAGCATAAATGGTATAGCCAATATGAGTGTGTTTATTTTGATTAAATAATTCCATTGTTATTGTATAATGAAACGTTTGGTTTGATAGCCAGTAATAAAACAAAAATCGTTGGACGTCATTTGAACTTTTATTATTTATATAGACTGTACGTGTATTTCAATTAGTTTTTGTGGCACTCATTTAATTAAGAAGGGAGTTATTTAATTTAGCAGTAAAATATGCAAACAGATAAAACTTTTAAAAGCATACGGAAAAAGCCATTAACACTTTTAATTTGGGCAACGTAAACTGAATTTACAAAAACAATGGAAAGCGTACACTTTTAAATGAATAAAACTGGCAAAATTATGTATGTGTGAAACTGATTAAACATGTTTTTTTCTTTCTTTTTTAAAAAATGACAAAAAAAGGTGGAACGTATACCAATATGCAGAATTGTAGAATTGAAATGGAACACCTCACAAACTAGAGGCAGCACCAATCAAATTTCAATTTAGGCTGGTGCAGTCAATGGTTTGAGTGGCGGGAAACTAGTTAAGGCCGGNAAGATTGGTTTGACAGTGAGATAAATTGATTGGGCAACCCGATTGTTATTAGACGCACTAAATGAGTATTGAAATAAAGTTCTGTTAATATTAACTCAATGAATCAATTCTTCTTTTGATACTTTAATAAAGGACAATAGCCGAACGGTGAAGGTGTCGGACAAGCGGACTTTTGATCCAATGAACGCGGATTCGAATCCCGCCGCCGCGCCGTACAACTATTGTGGTAACCAATGGTGAACCCACTAGTAAGACAAGCATATTTAAAACTTACTACGAGGCGGGGTCAACGCGTAGACGACGTTTTTTGTTTAAATTATATGGTTTTGTCAACTAGAAAACATATTCTCATTTTACTCTCTCTCTAGCCGTCTCACACCGTCTCGCACGCTTCTAGAAAATATAATACCACTTACATTATTTATTTTTACTTTACTTAATTTTGCCAAGGATCACCAACCCAATGTTCAACCATCTCTCACATATTATAAGCAATCCCAATTTAGATGCAAGACACGATTGATATGTAATTAATTTATTCCCGAACGCATTTGCCTTCATAAATATTGAAATCTACACCCTATATTAGTGTCCCATGACATCCTCAGTAACAATAACGAGGATCTACATTGCCTAACTATTATGACCTCAAATGTATTGAGTTAAGGTTTAATGTTCGTTAAGTTTAAGTATAATTGAGTTGTATCAAAATGTCGTTAGCGGCGGCGGAAGATAAGTGAGGGTTTAATGTCAGGATAGCTGGGAAATAAAGCTACGAGTACCACGTCATAATTCTGAGCAATTAATGACGGACCCCTTGGTTCTGGGATGTATGGAAATTTTGTTGAATTCAATATAAAAATAATATAATAAAGAACTAGCGGCCGCCAGGGATTAGGGGTTGAATTTTGCAAAAATCCGTCTTATTGAGACCTACGTTCTAAAAGGTACCCCAAAAATTTGAGGCTCCTAGCACTTTAAGTTTCTAAGATTTCGTGATGAGTGAGTCAGTCCTTTCGCTTTTATAATATTATGGATTGTATAGTATTATGGATTGTTATTTTTGTCTAAATATGACTGTAACTTGTTTTGTGTACCATAAATAAATAAATATTGGAGACTATAATGCTGTCTGAAATTACTGAAACTCACACCAATCCTTTCCAAATTAGGCAATGTGTATCAGACTTTTGCATAACTTTAAATCCTCGTAATGTTAATTTCAGGGTCTTTATGAATCTCCATTGGCTTAGTAACCTCTGTTATTATGGGACTTAAACACACAGTAACCGAACAAAGACCGCATCCATTCAACTAATTGAGTAGGTACTTAGCAAATGAGTGCGTTGCATTCGCTCACAGTAATGTGCTTAGTGGTATCATTTAATTGGACAGTCTTGTTCAGCCCAATTAATTTGATTAAACTACTGATGCATATTGTTTCAATGGCAACAAGCTGTACCTATGTATGAAAATTATAGTTTTTGAACGTTTCCCGCTAGAGGCACTGTACAATCCGTCACACATTTAATGTCATTTTTTGACGCGCTCACTAGATGATGTAAACTCACACTAGGCCCTCTGTAAGTGACGTTACCAAGTCAGGTTTAACCATAAACTTAGTCAGGATTATTTAACTGTTTTGTACCATAAATCAATCACTGAACCAGTTATCACTTTTCTGAAGCACTTTTCTCATAAACATCCACGATTTCTCTCATGTCAAATCTGAAAATATATCAAATTTTCAGAGTGCCACTGCGTGCCTCTGAACTGCTAAATAGTGGCAAAAATGGTTCTGTTTGACGTGACGGCGACCGCATCACGCATCTCTTTTTATCACACAGACAGTGTTGCTGCTAGTGACATCTCGCTCGCTCAGTTCTTTGTTGCTCTATTCCGCACGGTATAATAACTTTATGGGCTTAACATACCTAGAACTTTGTAATAGGTGCTATATTCCAACAAAAATGATTAGTCAACTCTAAGTAGAGATACGTAGAGGCATATTAAGTAACATGTCCTCTTGTCCTTTAGCCAGATAAGCTTTGAATACGTATTCGGAGGATTTCACACAGATTTTCCGCAACAGACTTACAGAATAAAACAAACATCGATTTCTATTCGTCTCTTTCTCTCACATGAATGTGAATCCCAGCGTGAGAGAGTAAAATAAACTCGAATTGATTAAAGACGGTCATTTAGGGATTACATTACTAACACTGTGCTTACACATCGGATTACAAAGCCAGTAAATGGTCGTTTGATGAGCTCGAACATTTTGTGCTTCTGTGTTGAGTTACGTATTTACTAGTACTAGGCATAAATCTAGCTACTGTCTAGATCAGAGTCAACCATTTTATACGGGCCTCAGACTACAATATACATTTATTTACTAAGAAGGTGTTTAAAACTCAGGATCTAGCGTAAAATAGGTATGGGCACATAGACGACACTTCGACAGACTGAAAATTATTTTCAGAACTATGACAAATTCTGGATTGCGAATCGAGCTAGTGCAAGCGCTTGTATTTGTAACAGTTTTATCATTAGAACCAAGTGTTGTATACTCGTAGTTGATTTCCATTATGTACATTATTTTCTATCGCAGCAAATTACACTGGACGGCTTCACGGTGTTTATGTAAAAACCACAGCGTCCAACAAAGCATGGCTAGTCCCCTCTTAAACCACCGTGTATGGCGGGCTGCGATCAGGGTCCAATTAACCTGTTTACACGCCACAAACTGTACTAATCAGCTCCAGGACCGGATCTAGGGTCTAAAACTTCTTCCTTCCCCATCTAACATTGTAAAGATAGAGTTCCAATATAAATAAATATAATTAGTGGAAGAAGTACCTATGCAAGTTATTTGTAATAGATAATTTCACTGTTCATTTCGATTTTTAGGTATTAGTTATAAAGCAGCAAACTACAGTAAATTTTTACAGCTTTTACTAAACGATATTGTGCAAAAAAGTAAGCAACCAGACCAGCAACATCAACATTCAGAAAATCATACTTAGTTCTAAGCACGGCTTATTTTGGCTAGCGGTATAAAAAAATGTTTCTTAAAAATAGTAACGAGTTACAGTAACATTCATATATTTCTTTATATTTTTTGAGTCCGTAGAAGTTGAAGCATGGGTAGTTNATACTTTGCCGAAAATATTGTCGTTCCAGATAAAACGAGACAAATATTGCTACAAGCTAGCAATTAGAAAAGATAACACCCCTATTTTTCCAGGGCCAAAAACACAATGTTTTTATTGGGATATGACCCATTACGGGGCCCCCTGAAAAAATATTATTAGGGTACACAAATCCGGCCCTGGCAACCCACATTACATCCGTAGTCGCGTGTTTACATAGAGGCGGACGATTACCCACAGGGAATTTGTCACAAGAGAGCTAGCTCGCGAAAAAATAAATTAAACATGCCTGATGAAAAATGGCAGCGTTCATTTAAATTTTTGACAACATTTTAGCGGCACGAAAGTGTCACGCATCTCGTATGTATGAGACTGGAGTGTAGGAAATTTTAAATGGAACGTCGTGATTGCATTCTTATTTAGATGCGAGAGATAACTGGGAATTGATTAAATAGCTGTATCAATATTTTCTTTGTGCAGACAGGATAATTATACAGTTGGGCTCATTGTTAAAAATTCACACAGAAAACAAACCTGTCACGTTAATTTTCCAGTACTTTAAATTAAATTTATAAAGAATAAAAAAACATTCAATTTAAAGAAAGTTTAAAGTTACACTCAAGCACATCGGTGATTAGACTATTAGACCCATCATTAGGTCGTTTAGTCTTCAGTCTGCAGAAAGGCGACCATTTAATTTTCCAGAAACTTGGCTCCACTGGCCATCATATGGCCTCATTTGGCTTAAAAATAACTAACTGACCATGGCACTTGCAACAGTGCCGAAATATCGGTAACTCAAAATTAAGGTACTTGGTAGCAATCCCGTTAGTTAATAATTAATTCACTGACCTGCGGAGGGCTCTTGACGTAATACTCTGTGTCGTTGATGATGAGCCGGAAGTCGCTCTCGAGCAGCGCCTCGATGGTGTCGCTGGCGGCGATGCGCACGCGCTCGTCGGCTGCCAACGCGGCTGCGCGCTCCACGCCGCGGTCCTCAGCCTTGACCTGGAAGAATACAGCTTTTTAGAATACAATCTAACTATTCAACGTAAAGCCCGGTCGCCGGGCACGTAGAATTTTGTCCAATGACGAAATTCTACGTGCTCGGCGAGCGGACTATACCAGAGGCAAACGGTGGATTTACCAGAGACAAATGCAGAATCTAGCCAAGTGAGTAGGTACTACAATCCCCACACTCTGGTCAAACGGGTTGGGAAAGCCTGATGTTCGCATATTTCTCGCTTAACCACCTCTTACGACAACCACGGAAGAATTGCGTCCTATTTATTCCACCATAAATATTATGTGACAAAAGTGTCACGCAATTGGGTACAAAAAAGCTTTTTCATTTTATAAAAATGAAAATATTTATGAAATGTCTTTAAGAATCATTAGTTACTGATGTCAACTACCTAGAGTACAAGCGATAGAAGAGGACTAAAATATGGAGAATTTTCCAATAACTTATCTGCGAACTTAAATCTATTCCAATAGGAGCAAATGCATTTTCGGGTTATTGCCTCTATAAATATTCCTAAAAGCTTTAGGATGCTGAGTAAATTACTCGTATATCCAGTATTGAGAATTCCAGCTCGTTCCTAAAATGTTACTGCAAGAAGGGAACTTAAACGATCTATCATTATAAAACCCTTTAGGCCATTCTTCAAAAGTGCCACGTCTTTATCATAAGTTCTTACGGAGCATTGTGACAAATCTATTCTTTATTTAACGAAGCGAACATTTCTGGGTTGCTTACCGGTAATTTAATTAGTATAAAGCCCAGTATTTTATCACTTAAATACGTCAGTGATGGTAGAATCATGATTTATACTCGTGGCCCAAGTGGGTTCTATATTTTACGACTCTAAAATTTTATTCGTCAGTGGTTTAGAGTAGGATCGTTGATGGTGTTGCTATTGTAAAAATTACTATTTATAAACGGCTTTAAAAAGGAGGAGGAGGTTCTAATTCGGTTATAATTTTTCTATTTTTGTTGTTTAAAATGTTTGCAAAGCTTTAAAATAACAAAACCAACGCAACGTGAAAATCTGCATAAATCTCTATAATAATAGATAATAGTTGAGCTTTATAACAACTAGATTCAGAAATCTAGTTGTTATAAAGCTCAACTATTCAATAGCCAAGGCAATAAAATAGTGGAAACCAATTTTGTGCTAGCCGAAAATTGATTTGTGTGCTTTTGCGATTGGAATACTCGTTGCCATTATTCCTGTGCACCCCCAATTTCGGTGGCAATATGTTACATGGCTATTGTTTCAATTTATCACCATTATCAAAAACGTAAACTCGACTAATTAATTTAAGTTGCATCTATATTTTATGAAGATTAAAGGCGAAACGATGATAAAATTAATCAATAACAAGTTTAAAGAACATTTATTTCTTATTAAAAACCATACAGTCGACTTAAAACATTTTTACAATTTTAAATCAATACCTACATAAGGTGTTTCCCAAACTGTCCAGTAGTCAGAACAAGCGGATGTAACTTAACAAAAAAATATTATCCCCTTTCATATTGTGCTAGTTTGTTAATTTATCACTGCTTATTTTTGTTTCTCTTATAGAAGAATCTTAAGCATATTTTTTCAGAAATAAATATCCTTGAAACAATAGACAAAAATTGGTTGTTTTTAATTTATACTTAAGTTAATATCAAATTGCGAGCGTCGTTGCAGAATACCTACCAGACCTTTACTGAAGTTCAGTGAGAGAAACGTATTAGAACCAAGCCGACTTAACTTCATTATGTCAGGAGATATCGGGTTGCAATTAACGTTTGATCTTCAACGTTGGAAGCTGTGCTAATTAATACACTTTGTCGGTATGATTGTTTGTATGAGGTATGTATGTACTGTATATTTATAATCCTATTTGTGAATAATCTTCATTGATTTTACGTAATTATGTACAGTCGCGGAATGAAAAGGTCCGTCAGTTTTCAAATTGATTCCTTCAACGAATCGCGAGCACATATTACCTTTTGAAACTATGTTACAGAATAATCTCGAGTTAGAGGAAATAATCTTTAACTGTTCGTCAGTAAAGTTCAAAATTATTCAGATCAAAGTTGTTTGACGATTCATCTTGTCAAGAAGATTATTATGATTGATAAACTAAAACCTTCTTGTTGGTTCAACCTGCCATTATTATTTCTTTTAAATAAAAAAAACTATTGTCAATTGGTCAATGTCATCATTGCATTGCACTGATGGGATAGAAAAATAAACAAGCAAAACCTTATTCGTTAGCAAACGTCATATTTATTTAAATGTTAGCAGCACTGTTTCTTGTACTGTTATGTTGGCAGGTTTGACTTTTACAGTACCTAGTGCAAGCGAAAACCGACACTAAGGTGACGAACCTTTTCATTCCGCGACTGTACACTTGTAATCCGATTCGTTAATAAGTAATCTTCATTGATTTTACACAAAACCATAGCAAGTGATTAAATAAATTAACCTACTGATGTAAAGAGGTTTTGATTAAATACCTAATTACTTACTTCTTATGTAAAGAGGGGAGGGGTTAATCTAATTTGATAAATATTGTTAAGTATGAATTTAGATATGCCTAATTCTAGCTTGAACAAAATTTTTTATTTTCTCTTAACCTTCATCTAGATGAAGGTTAAGAGAAAATAAAAAAATGTGTACGAGTACATCATTATCTAGCTAGCTAGATAATGATGTCTACTCGTACACAATAAGAAACACCAACTCTTAAAAATATAGTGAAGTAAGGTTTGTGGTGAGTCGATAATTTCTCAATAGCAGAAAATTGTAGATTGCATAATGGCACAATGGTGTATAAATGAAAGAACATCTCTTCTTTCAATTACAGGTACAAACGTACCTCTTCAAAAAGGTAAAGCCAATTCTCTGTCGATACTTCGTCAAGGCAACTGCAGTCGATTTCCGTTGTTTCAAACAGCAAAGGCCCGACAATCGCCCCTTGCGCGAATCCATTTGGTTTTTAGTTAGCAAGAGCTTCGAGCTTCCTTTTTTGAGTGCTCCCGCTCGCTTGTAAATTGCCTTTGTCTTTTAAAAGACTGACTGTTGTTTTTTTTAACCCGGTTTTAGGCTGTAAAAACATTTTAAAATCCTTTTCGGTACAGGTTGTTTGTAATATTTGGGGGACTTCCACTGTTTTTCTACTAAATAGGTTTGCAATTTTATTACGAAATGTGAAATTACTCCGGCTGACCCTGGGTTTTCTAACGTATATTTATTACAAACGACAGAAGATTAAGCTAAGCTTATCGCATATTAATCAGCTGTAATTAGGACTATTTTGCAACAAGAATGTATAGCTGGATAATGGATATGCTGCCGAATGTACATCGACGAACGAGCATGGGACAATAGAAAATCAATCGCTAAGAGCCGCTGGCAGGTCGCCACAATCGAATAGGTAGTAAATAATAGTATTGGNTGTATTGGGCTCGGACCTCACTCACCCTGAATATTCGAGAATAGTAGAACGAAAGATTGATTGAATATGCGGCCAATTCAATACCAGATCCATAAAGATCCTCCCAAAACCACATGGACGTCCGAGCTTTACTACCCACCATATAAATCATTGGCGAGTACGTCCGAAAATTCCAGAGCATATTCGGAAGAAATTCCAACATTCTATTTTGCCCCTTTCCGGAATGTCGCGCCAACACCGCTGGGGAACGACGTAAAAGTATGAGAAATATGACGTGCGAAGCCAATAAAACTTCGTGTAAATGATTTACACGCGTTCCAGATACCTAATCTTGATAATGGAAGCGAAAGTCGTGTGTAAGTCAATTAAGCTCCCTGCATCGCGATAACTAAGTTTAAACGTCCGTAGCGGACTGGAACATGCTGACAGTTTAAGGGTCGAAGTTGCAAACTTCTTGATGTTCCTGATGGCACACTTCTGACTGTTTTGGCACTATTAGCACACTGGCATAGCTAGTCAGTAGAATGGCTATTATTGACAAAATTATATATTCTAGCAAGTCGTCGACATTCTGTGACACATACTGCAGCGTGAAGTCAAATTAGGCTAGAATAACCGCGATGTTGATATAGCCGTGTGTATATCAACATCGCGCGCGGTATATTGATCAATTGACCACCGTCTGTCCTGGCAGGGCATAAGTATTGCACGTAAGACTGGCCAAGGTAGTAAGTTTCTAGAATGGAGACCACGTACCGATAAGATCAGCGAGAGACGTCTACGTTCAAGGTTTAGATGACCTTATAATGGTTGCAGTAACTAAGCCGCTGGATGCAGGGCACTTCTAAGCAACCAATAATGGAAATAATTGGGGGAGGCATATGCTGATGATGATGACCAACTGACCTGTTCTAACAAGTCGCCGACGGTCTGCGACACGGGCCGCAGCGTGAAGCGGCATCGCTCGCGACGCGACGGCAACGGGACCGTGATCACCGGCAAGCCACGCCGGTACGTTACTATCACTTCTGAAACAAAGAAATAGAGCAATTAAGTTCTGAGTCAATGTTCAGTCGAATAAAGCCGAGTCCGCACTACGGCTGAACCGCCGCGGTTTTTAACCGCGTGATTTTATAACCAAGTAAAACAAATGCAACGTCCGCACTGCCGCTTTTTCCCGCGTATACGTATCGCGGTTTGGCGTTTTACCGTTTGCGGGAAAAAACCGTAGTGCGGACTCAGCCTAAGCTTAGTTATTAATAGTTATAGTAATGTCAATGATGCTACTTTATTCCCATCTAGCCCCATCGTGCTTGCCACTGACGTGGTAGTTGGCACTAAATAGGTGGCGTTTATATTCCCATCTGCCCCCTTCGAACTTTGCTACCGGGCTGGTGGTGTACACTAAAAAGGTGGCGTTTACCACCCGCGGCGGTGGCCTATGGCACCTATTTTTTTGTCAATTGTTACCGAAAAGCGGTCTCATGCGACCGCTTTAAGTCGCACGAGCTATGCAAGTTCTTTTGTTTTGTTTTTCTCGTCGTGAACTCTACAGCCTTATGCCTATTAATATGGTAATATAAAAAATTAAAATAAAGAAGAAAAACAGACAATTATTCCATTTTGACATTTCCACTGTGACATTATTAGGTACTTTCTTTTCCCGGCAATTTACCCTCTGGCATTTCAATTTAAGCGTGGCATATACTTGTTACCATTCCACTTGGGTAATATAAAAGACACTACGGTTATATCTAGCCCCTGTGGTGATAAATCGTTGTTATGTTTGTGGTATTATTATGATACACTCGAAATTCATTATGACATACTCGTAACTTAGGTCGTGGAATATCCTTTTATAGCAAAGAAACCTTTTTTCCAAGAAGAATACATTATTCAATAATGATACTCAATATTTGGGACGTATGCAATTTTAATTGTATTAGTGCAAATTTTTAATCAATTGACGCGGTCATCACCAAACGTAGTCATAAACAAAATATCTATCTAAGGCTGGGTTGCACCATCTTACTTTAACTTTGATAAACGTCAAAAATCTGTCAAACTCCATACAAAAAACACCGGTTATCGTCATAGTTACGGTCAAATTAAGGTGGTGCAACTCAGTCTAAGGTTTATTTCGAATTCGGGGACTATCTCCACCGGATAGGTCGGGAGCTCGACGCCAGGTGTTGGCACTGCGATGCTGCGACGGACTCCGCACAGCACACCTTGGAGGTGTGCCCAGCGTGGGATGCTGAGCGGGAGTCCCTCGTACGTAGCCGCAGTGGGAGACGACCTCTCTCTGCAGGCCGTAGTGGCCCGCATGGTGGGGAGTAAGGAGATATGGCACGCGATGCTCTCCTTCTGCGAGGCAGTTATCTCGCAGAAGGAAGCGGCGGAGAGGGAGCGAGAGGCTTCGGCTGACGCCCCTATGATCCGCCGCCGTCGTCCAGGGCGACGCAGGAGGGTTTACAACCTACACGCTCCTCCTTAGGAGTCTCGACCGCTGGGTATGGGGATGCCCGGCGGGCGCCTTACGAGACCCGTGGCGCCGGCGCACCAGTGTCCAGTGCGCCGTTAGCGGACGACCCGAGAGGAATCACTATTCCCCTCGAAGCTGGAGGGGCACGCCCAAGAGCGAGCTGTAGCCTGAGACGGAGCCGCGGACGAATGTCCAATAGGACAATAACTCGCGGCTTCGTATCAATGGCCCCGGAGGACACCGTCGGGTTTTAGTGGGTAGGCCCCGCCCTCCCAGCGGGGAGAGTCTCACATAACCCACTGACTGACTGTCCCCATCAGCCAGTGGGCATGCGCAAAGCATTTCCCGACGCAAAAAAAAAAGTTTATTTCGAATACCGCTAAATATACGTAACGCATACCTACTACATAGATTAAGTATTTACATACACTCAAAACCATGACTAAACCTACTAAAACCTACCTATAGAACAAGACCGTCTAAATTCTTCCTGTCTAATTTATTGTTTTGTAATTTTAAACCTTGAGCCGAAACCACGCAAGAATATCAGATTTATTACAATTTTTGCCATTTCCAAAAGAATACAATTTATAGTTGCATGATATAGATAAGTATGGTTAATAAAACTATCTCTCCGAGTTTAGAAGAGCTGTTTAAATCTCAATTAATGATAATATTCTCCACAAAACCACTAGTAGTTTGCTAAGTGAATGGATAGAATGAAATTGTCCACGAAGCGCGGGCGTCGGTCTTAAAGATTAACTCTAGTTGTAAACCGATCCTACATTTGATAACTTACTTGAAACAATGTTATCTCCAAAAATCATATCCACCTCCAAGCACTATCAAAGAAGTAAATTTGGTTGGGTTGCACAATCTTACTTTAACTTTGAAAAACGTCCAAAATCTGTCATACTCCATACAAAATACATCGGTTAGCGTTAACCACCTAATTTTTACCGTAGATGATGCAACGCAGCCTAAGAAGACTCGGCAGTTCTAAGCCTTCGTCAAGATGTAAACTGACCAGCCTTCAAAGTCAAGACGTAAACTGATAGCCTTGCTTGCGAGTTTGAAACGTGTTTTTGCAATATGAAATTCAGCTATAAAGCGCATGAACACGCGTATGAATTACTAATTTTCACGTCAAGCTCCTGAAGCGGTTCTTGCAAACAACTAAATTACATGGATTGTTTATTATAAGTTACTAAGAAAAAAATATAAACTACTGATTTAAAACTTTTATGTCATTACCTAATAGATTAATTCGCTGAAATTTCAATTGACACAAAACTAACGTATTGATTTTAACTGAAAGAACACAAACTATTCACATACAGCGCTTTTGTTTCAACCACAGTTTTCCATTCCATTTTTATTTTTTACTAGCTGACCCGCCGAACTTCGTACCGCCTTAGCGTAGAGATTTTCTTAATATTTTTTTCCGTAAGAACCATCCTTGGACTTCCACAAACATTTAAAAAAAAGAATTATCGAAATCGGTTCAGCCGTTCACACGTGATGCCGTGACAACGCGAAACGGGTTTCATTTTTATATTATTTTTTATTCAAACAACAAAGTCCGTCACAGGTTATCTCAAACTACAACTACTCAATTCCCAGATTAGTTTTTGCATACGGGCCTGTTCTCCGACGCGCTCCACTTATCGTACAGTCGAGCACAACTGCGCCTACGCACGTCTAACCAATTATTTCATTTGGACCACCGATGTATAAGATTTACAACTTAACGGATATTGTAGCGTAATTATAATCATCGCCAATTATTGTTGTTTTATTTTTACACTTTATACACTGCAACAATCTGGCGTTCCTACTCAATGAAGCAGAGTTTTTCTTGGTTAAAGATAAGTTTAGCAATACAATATTTAGAAATTAAAACTTTGTACATTTTGAGAATACATGTACTTGCCTGCGTATGCTCTAGGAAGTATTGCACAATTTTAATTCTAAACAATTTAACTTGGACAATAACAATTTCTGAAGTAAGTAGTTGTCTTACAATTTTTCAAGTCGTCTATCTTCGTTAGTTTTAGGTCTATTTTTCCATCTCACTCATACTAGCATTTTTGCTATACCTAAGTAACAGAGATGAAAAGCACCGAAAATACTGCTACAGCGTTAGGTAGAGTAACCCTTTGGAACTAGAAATTGTGAATTCCTTTAACCAAAATTCCATCACATTTTGTAATTCTCAATAACAATAAATTTAATGAGCTACAACAAATGATCAAAGTTCAATTGAATCAAGTTAGCAGGTGTAATGTGCGGTTTATCTAGCAGCTATAGTAGCTTACTCAGAGGGAAAGCAATTAATTAAGCTGAATGGAACTAGATGAAGCCACATCATCTCGGTGAGCCCACAAACAGTTACGGTTATTGCCAATTCACAGCGAGAACCTAATATTCTAGATCAGGTTAGACAAATTGACATTTAACTTCGAACAGTTGATGCCGTTTACGTCAAATTGTGCATCGAAATTCAGTTCAAACTGGACCTGTCAGTCAAGAAACAGCACAGAGGTAAAAAACTTGCGTTTGAAGTAGGTACGCGAAGAGCAAATGTTTATGCATGTGGCTTTGATTGAATCAAAAAGAAGGATGATTATCTAGTTCACTATGGAATCAAATAGCGTAACTGGAACAATAAGGTAAAACATTAATGAATTTAAATGAGATTTTAGAACAATTTATCTAGCCTCGAATTAAACTTTGGATATAAAAAGGTTATCTTGTTTGTGCTGCAATGACAGAATATCAATTTTAAATGACAGGAATAACACCCCTATCGCTATAGCAAACACAGCGTGTCCGAGAACAAATTCGCATACTGATAATGAGCCTGCCAGATAATTGATTAGGATGTAATGATTTTGCACACGACAGTACAAAAAATTCATTGTTAGACTTTCAAGCGGACTAATCGCATAGTGGTGCGATATGAGCTCTATGGCAAAAAGGTAAAAAAATATGGATTTATACTTTTTCAGTTCCTCTAGTTCTGTGGATTTAGTTATAAATCTACTATCGATGAAGTAGGAGCTAGCGAAAATTTTAAATACCTAGCTTTCAACAATTACTTTAAGATTTGAAGTATTTCATTACTGATTACACCTATTTTGTGAATTCGAGTACTTTTTTGTTCCAATTAATAAGTCGGAAAGTGGTATGTTTATAAAGGGGATGTCCAATTTTAAATAGTAAATTAACTGTTGAAAGTAAGTACAATAAATTACAGCAAAGTCAGCTGTTTCAATTTTATTACTCACATCAATTTCACAACTTCTGCAAAAACACTAGGGACTCAGCGTTGTTTGTTTTTACGGCGCGCCAGCAAAAAAGAGCTTATGGTCCGTTCAGAAGTGAATTATAGCAGTTTGTTTGAAATCATGCTTTAAAACAATTCGAAATAAAGCTAAGTGTTTCTGGATACTTAACTACGGCGTATAATACAGAGCAAAAAGGTGCTAATATCACCAGGACGGCGCAAACGGGCGGTAGGTAATATAAAATTTTATGTAGATGA